GTAATAATTCTTTTCTTTAATAAAACTCTAAATACTTAACCCAGAAATTATACTTTGTCTCTAAAATATATTTGATCAATAAACCTTCAGAAGCTCTCTATAAATCGTATCATAAAAGTCTTAAAGCTAAATCCTTTGTTAATCTTGTGTTAATACTAATTTTCAGTCATTAGTATCGTAAGATAACAATATATTTCAGGGAATAAACAGAATGAAAGGTGAGTGTTATTACTACATATTCCATTTTCACTGCATTACCTAACTTATTTGAGAACTATGATTGTTATTCCCATCATCATCATTTTCAGCATCATCGATGATATCTGTTAGCTCTGGTATCTCTTCTACATACGCAATTGGATTTATCACTTGATCATGCGTAATAACTTTAGTTCTCTTTTCTTCCTGACCCACAAGAGAATCTTCGTCTTCTATAGTATCATCACTTAAGGGGTCTTTTTTTCTGAAATCATTATTCTTAGATACCATGTGATACTCACCAAAAGCTAGTGCAAGTTCCTCCCTAATAAGTTCGATAGGTGATATACAACTAGAAATAGGGCATAAAGGAACACGTGTTTTTGATCGTACAATATGTTTTTCAAGACATATTCGATGGTATATATGTTCACATGATAATACTGTGAATGAATTAAGAGGTAAGGCAAGAATTTCTTCATCGCAGAAGTGGCAAGGATTAAGTTTTGGGATATGTTCATCAGTTATTTCAGAAGTGTTTCTTAGGAAATTTAACGAAAGTGCTTTAAGTTGAAAAATCTCTGTATCGTCCGCATGAATTTCTGAAGGACTTGCTGGTAGTTCGCTAGTCATACTGTTAAATCATAAAGAAGATTTCTCGTCCTTTTCTCCCTACATAAATATTTTTTCATATATCAAGACTAAAACGAAATTAGCCTTACCCCGAGTAAATTTATCTCAGAAATGAGCATCTCGGAAATGGACATCTTGGAAATGAGCATCACAGAATGAAGATCACGAATAAAATCAGGATCAATGATGAAAAGATATGTATAATACCAATTAGTTTGTATTGTTCGATTTTTACCCCTTTTTCTCACTATAGTTCGAAAAAAGAAAACCCATCAGATTAGGCAATTAAGTTAAACTATCTTCTGAAGGTCTTGACCAAGGGGGGAAAGACTACTATACTCCCAGTTAAGGCTACGATCGTCGCAAAACATGAAAGTCTCTGAAACAAATTTGGTAATCCTAATAGTCGATTAATTTGCCGATCCCGAATGAAATAACATTCTGAAATTGACCTTCATTAGGACGGGCGATCTTGAATGAATATGCAAATTAGTATTCAAGGATCAAGAAAGGTATTATCTCCGCTTTGATTTCAAACATCTATAAAGCAGATAACATAACCTTTAGCCACGAACTATATGCGGGATTCGGAATAGATTCTTCAGCTCCTGCTTCACATATTCCAATTTCAAAAATGAGATTATTCCAGGATCATCTATCAGAATAAAAAAATAATGCGAATATATATGCAAATCTTACATCACACAGGCATTACACGTGACCAATTTCTCATGTACTGGTAAAATAATACTTTATTTATGAAATAAAAAAAAACGTTGCTGGAAGTCGGCCTACAATACATAAAAATTGCGACTATGCGAAGCGCCTTAACGGCTATCGCTACATGATATGAATAAAAATACTAATTATTTCTAGGGGGGTATATGATAACATTGATTCCCTTTTCACCAGCATAGATAGGTTGGGGTTGCGTGGGAAAATAACTATAAATTGTGTTTTGCGGATTCATCAATTCTGTACCAACCAATACAGCTACATTGTCGTTTCTTAAGTTAATGATTATGGTATTGTCGCTCATAGAGTCTCTGACCTTATACAAAACCAACCTGCTCGAATCAATATCTCGAAATAGATCTAGGCGACGGTTTCTGATTTCAACCCCGAGAGAAGAAACTCGATTGTTATTAGCGTTAGATATCGTTACTTCGAAGATATCCCTTGCTTCCTCACCAGGAATCAAACAGTTGAGAGTAATATTTCCGCCTTCGAGCAACTTATCAAGTTTTGATTTATCAGATGTTTCAGGCTTATTAGGAACTGCAGTCTTATCAGACATCTTGCTTTCCT